GCCAACTAGGTGGCAACAACTTGTGGGGCTGGGGCAATGTTCTCCAAGAAGCTGTATATTCTCTAAACCAGCGGCCAATATATGGTGCTGGTCTCCAATAGCCAGAATTCACGGGTCCAGGAACCAAGGGGTGGAACCTGCAGTGGCACCACTCACTATTACTCCTAGTGATCCACTTGCAGCATTTTTGCTTCCTTTCCCAGCAACCCTGTGTTCATCAGGCCTGGAGGTCCTGGTCCCGAAGGAAGGAGCTCTCCCACCCAGAAACACAGCACGGATTCTATTGAATTGGCAGCTGAGAATGCCCCCTGGCCACTTTGGGCTTCTCATACAGGTCAGGAAGGGTGTCACTGTACTAAGTGGTGTGATTGATCCTGATTACCAAGGAGAAAGTGGACTGATGTTACATAATGGAGGTAAAGAAGAATATGTCTGGAATCCTGGAGATCCTATAGGCCGACTCTTAGTGCTACCATGCCCTGTGATTAATGTAAATAGTAAATTACAGTAACCCAATACTGACAGGACTTATAATGAAGGTCTGGGTCACCCCACCAGGCAAAAAACCACAGCCAGCTGAGGTGCTTGCTGAGGGCAAAGGTAATACAGAATGGGTAGTAATAGAAGGTAGTTCTACCTATCAATTACGACCCCGTGATCATTTGCAAAAGCGGGGTTTGTAATAGTCAATGTATTTTCTCTTTATGTGTTTATTGCATACCTTTCCTTCATTTAGGTATGATATGTCAGATATAATTGGACTGTTTTCATTTATATATATAATAGATGATTGATGATAAGTATAAGTGTGATTTCATCAATGTTTGTAAATTATATATGTATATATGGCTAAAGAATTGTGTGCAGGTGCCAGGTTGGCAAGGGGTAGATTGAGATAGTTTATTGTGCCAGCCTGGCTGATGGACACAATTGGGATTTACTGAAGGGCGGAGAGATGGATGAGTTGGTGAGCCTCGCCTTTCTTGTCTCTCGCTCTTTGATCATTGGACCAGTGTGCGGCTGCCTTGCTTGTTCTGTGCCTCTTTAAAGGCTACACTACCTGTGGGACGCCTAGCCTGTGGACTGTGTTGCTGTAAGTTGAGGTTCCTTTAAGACATCTCTGGAGCCGGGGACTTGCGGTTGGTGTCCTGCCTTGTGATTGGCTGCTGTGCTGACATAGCCTAGCTCTCTCTATAAATAGGGGAAGATCTGGCAGCAGACTAGGCTTGAAGGACTGCTAGTCTCTCACAACTCTCTCTC